TAGGAAACACACACCCACATACCCACCCACACACGCACCCACACACCCACACACACTCACACATGCACACGCACAAACACACACACATACACAAACACACAGACAGCATGCTCATTGGCCACACCCAAGGGGTATGACAGCAATGGAGGCATGATTGTGTCTTCCCAATTAGGGAATAATGCATCACACCACCAAGAAGGGCACACACACACATGCACACACCATTGTGGATGAAGGGCATTTTCTTGAATTGCACATGCAAGTGCAATTGAAAGAGAAGTGTGGAGTGTGCATGTGTGTGTGTGTGTGTGTGTTGTGCACCATGACATGCATTTTAAAGTTGGGTTTTCCTGTGGGGGGTTCTGTGTGTTTCCACCCACAAGTACTTATATTACTATTGAGATGACACACACACACACACACACCACATACACACATGCCACACACAACACACACACAAATAAGTTCAGCATTCATATGATTATGGGAATAAAAGTGCCATTTGCATATGGTGGCAAACAAAAATAACAAGCCAAGAGAGGGGACAAGTGTGCCAGGTGAGGGTAAGGCAAACAACATAGTCAGGTATAACATACAAGGGGGTGTTGCATATGAGCATGTAGGGCATGAACAGGGGAACAGGATGGTATGCATCTCAAGGCAAACAGATGAGGTGGGGCCAAGCTAGAGTGTCTACAAGAAACCGGCCAATAGGAAAATAGGGCAAAAATGCACAAACCAATGAAAAAATAGGAGAAAATCCTGCTTGCACGCCATTGGTCCAGGAAACTCCCCTAACCCTAACCCTAACCCTAACCCTAACCCTAACCCTAAAAATTTAAATAAAAACAAATTAACCCTAACCCTAACCCGTTCTGAGCCTCAGTTGGCTTGAGCCCCTGGCTTCCTGAGGCCTGCTGGGGCGGCTCTTTTTCGCCCTGGTTTTTGCTGGCCTGTTTTCTCTCCCCCTTTTCCCCCTTTTCCTTTTGTACTTAGTTTTTCCTTTGGCTGTGGCAGCTTGTTGCCCAGCATAGTGTTAATATGTTTTAAAAAACGTGTAAATAAATAACTATTTAACCCTAAACCTGTCTTGGCCATTGTCTGGGTTGCCAAGTGGCCTTTCTGGTGTTGGCCAAAATTTGTTCCATGGTGTCCATGTGAGATGGCACCAGTGACAGCAGCAACTCATGACAGAGACACAGCACAATAAAAATACTGCAACTCCAGCATTACACACAGCTGAGTCTCATTGACCAGTCAACAAGGGCTGTGCAACAGCTGTTGCATGAGGACCATACCAATAGACATCACTCTGCCCTTATGAAGCTGGCAACTTGGCAAGACAAGGACTATGGGCACCAGGTGCATCATCACAGTATGGCCACCAAATTGAAGTCCCTCACCAATGACCTGCTGGAGTGCTGGGAGCAGCCTCTGTGCCCCCACCACCATGTGCCTGGCTGCACCAGGGCTTCTATGAGTGGGTCTGGTGCTCCTACTGGTGGCAGTGCTACAGAGTGTTCTGTGATCCATGGTAGACCTGGGCCAGCCAACCCTCACTTCTGGGCTCTGTTCTGTTGCTGCATTTGTCCCCCAACACATTTGGGCCTCCCACCAACTACTACAGCTATTGTGCTGTGAAGCTGCCACCACAGGACCAATAAGACTATTCAATTTCTATTCTAGGTGTTACAGTGTTATCATGCAGCATCACCAGATCTGGCCAATGCGGGTTGATGCTGGACCCAGCTTGGCATCCACCCACTGGTTGAAGCTCGGGCAGAAGTACCACGTCAGCTTGAAGAAGCATGAGCCCAGGACCCACAGGCTCCAGAACACAAGCATGAGCAGCTGGTCGCACACCATAAGGCACAGGACGAGCGGCACCCACAGCGGGTAGATCAACCCTACGCTCACATGGGGGTATGAGACCTTGGTGTACCATGAGAGTCTGGGGAAGGGAGGTGAGGTGAGGCAGGTACGTACCGCAGAGGGTGCGCGTGCACCAGTTGCTCCACTTGCTGAACGACACCTGGCACGTGAGCGTCGTGACCGGGAACCTGAACCAGCAGTCGTCGCCCTTGAAGTCGTTGGCCATGCGGCACACGCCACATTCGTCGCATTCCCACACGCAGCACCCGCGCGGACCCTTTGGGAGTTCGCATCCAGCGCAGCAGCACTCGCAGCTGCCGTTGTTGCCACCGCCGGCCTGGGCTTGGCCTTGTCCACCCGCCGCGGGCTGCGCTGCCGATGGGGATGATAATGAGAACGACTGCGCTTGCGTACGGCCGGCCTTGGCAAGGTCGATCAGGGGCGCTGTCCTTGAGGACCCGAGCGTCAGGGCTGGAGGCGTTCCCTCACTCTTCTTGCTGTTTGGCTTCTTCTTCTTCTTCGAACTGCTGCATGGCTTGCTCGCCAACCTCGGGGTGTGCTCAACCCCTCCGGCCAGAAGGCCTCGAGGAAGCAATGGAAGCCGATCGGAGGGCTTGAGGAGCGGGTCATCCTCGGCCGGCTTGAGGTCAATCTGCACCTGCGCCGCGCTGTCGCCGCCTGCGAGCAGCTGCTTGCCGTGCTTCTCACGATATCTGGGTCGCGTCCAGCAGGTGCATGTCACATGATGAAGGCGTCACTCAAGACCAATCAAATCGAGGAGGGAGTGTACCGGTGGATGATGTTGCGGAGGGTCCAGTTGGGCATGGGTGGCTGGTCTGGACTGATGCCAATCTTGCACACGGGACACTGAGTCTTGGCCTGCGCTTGCAGTCGCGTCCACGCCCCGATTGACTCCGCCGAGAAGCTGCTCGTGGGGTGAACCCCAACGTCACATGTCCATCAAAGTAGATATGTCAATAGATGGGTGAAGACAGGGAGTGAAATATGTTCAACACTCGGTCAAACAAGAAACAAGTGCGTCAAGTGTGGCGTGCCTGTGGCCACACTGTATCAGCATGACAGGGTCCTCCTGCACAACAAACGATGACTCATCCGTTTCAGAGCCGGCCAAGATTTGAGCCCAGATGAGGTGGCCACGCACCATGAGAGTGAGGGTGATGGGGTCGATCAGCTCCGGTGGGAGTTCCTCGCCTGTCGCACGATTGTCCTTCTCTTCGTTCTCCATCTCAGAAGTGCTCTTACTGGCCAAGCGCGGATGTGCACAGGACGCTCCGGCAAGGCCTAAACTAAACTTGAAGCACCGAGAGAGGAGAACCTTGGTGGGCGAAGAGGCAAAAGAAGGTTCTCCCTCTTCGCTGAAATGTTGTGCTCAAGACTTGAATAATTGGCTCTTAATTGAGTCTACCAGACGGTGAGAGATTGGTGTAGACGCAATAATCCTGGGAGTTAGTTAGGTCCTAAATTGGTGTGTTCGGCTTAGGGCCCTACGTTGAAGAAGCCGATCACAAGGACCACCAGCGCCAGCATGACCACCACGACAAGCGTCTTCAGCCCTGGCCACCACCCTGATGTTCTGAAAGAGAAAAAAGAGACAGGACTCTCCTTTCTCTTGAAAAGGGGGAAGAACCGGTGAAGAAATAGGCACCCTGCTGCCACAGAGCACTTTTGGAGACAGGAGGCTGGCAGGGAAGGAGAAGTCCAAACAATAAATATTTCTTTGCTCACGTGGCCCAGTTCAAACAGGCAGGCTCAAAGGGGGTTTGTTTCGTCCTTGCTCTTTGAGGTGACCTCAACAGGCTCTTGCACTTGCTCATCCTCGTCATCGTCCTCTTGCTTGGTGACATAGTTGCGGAGGTAGGTCTCATGTTCGACCGTGTCGACCACGAGGAACCGCACCACAGTGAGTTTTTGGGTCTGCCCGAGGCGATGAGCACGCCCAATCGCCTGTTCGGGAGAAACAGCACACAAGCGCGATCAGTTACAGCTGCTGCGCACAACACGGGCGCAACTGAGACGCACGCACGCACGCACGCACACAAACCGGTTGGAGTCTTTACCTGGGCTTCGATGGCATGAGCGCGTGAGCGGCTGCCGCAAATCGGGTCCACAAGAATGATGTGGGACGCCTGCGTCAAGTTAGTTCCTGACGCGGCGTTTTCCTGTTGGTTTGGCGGGTGGGCGGAGCAATTAGAACCGCACAAACTAACAGCAGAGCAGGACATAAGCGCTTATGCACCAGAGACAGCATCAGCACGCGAGGCAGGGGCTCGGGCTCCTTTCCCTTGGCTGCCTTTTTCGGCTGCGAGTCCACCGACTTCTGGAAGGCGGCAATGGCTTTGTTACGCTGATAGACGTTGCCTGTTGTGTAGAAACGAGCATGAGTGAGTTGATGAGCACTCACCTCACTGGAAGTGGGACACGCTCAGAGTGATGGCCGGCTAGACGGAGAGGTGGGGGGGACACGGTACCGCGGCAGAAAATGGTGCGTACGCCGTGATCCTCCAGCAGGTTGCCGATCAGCAGAAGCAGGCGGGTCCATTGCGAAAAGATGATAATCCTGCTGTCGTCGTCCTCGCACAGCTGCTGCACAAACAAAAGCAGATGCGGCATCTTGGAGCCGTGGACAGCCACCATGTCCTCACTGCAGTGTCCGTGACACACGACACACACGACACACACGACACACACGACACAACACACACAACACACGACACACACGAGAGGAGGAAGGGTTAAGGACGTCCGTCCTCGCGTGGTGATGTTCGGTGGGAGTGGGGTTGGGCTCAACCTGATAGTGTCTGGAGCCATGAACATAGCGCTGGGCAGAGCGTTGGTGGCGGCCTCGAGAATGGCCAGGCCTTCTTTTTGGTCTTCCTTCTCCAGCTGTGATGAGGAGTAAGAGGAGTATGAGTTATTCTCCACGAGAGAAGAGTATAATACCGCGCAGTTAATATTCTGATGGGGACTCGGGTAAGTGGCATGTAGGGTACCTTGGAGTCGAATGGCTTGCCCTTGGCCATCTTCTTCCCTTGCTTGACGATATCGTACTTGGCATTGACCTCCTCGAGATGGGCCAGACTCTTTTCGTACATCTCCAGGCTCGCCTCCAAGCTCGAAATCTCCTTCTTTTCCTTCCGGATGCTGTTCTTCAGGCCCAGCTTGCGCTCGAGCTCGCCTTTGGTGGGCTTCCAGTTGGGCAGCCAAGCCCGTTGCCGCTTCCAGTCGGTCTGTGCGCGGACGGAGAAATCAGAGAGGAAGATGGTGAGCGCAGGTTGGGAAGGGGGCATGTACCTTGAGGTCCCTCAAGTGCTTTTCGTGGGCCTGCACGTTGGTCCGGGCCAAATCGAGCGCCGTGGACGTGGACTTGATCTGCTGCTTCTTGGTAACGAGGGTCTCGCCGAACAGGTCCCATAGGTTCTTATCCCTCACACCTCCCATTCTGTTCATCGTGGCCACGATGATTAGGCGCACACGCACGCACACCACCGCGGCAGTCAGCTTCACTAACACTACGGCGCAGGAGGGACGTTTTTACAATACCTGAGGTGCGAGTTGGAGAGCTGAGGGTGACAGCAAAGCTGGCGCATTTCGTCGTCCCGCTTCTCAATCTTGGCGACCTCATACAGCGCCCGCTCCACGACCGTTTGGCGGAGCAGCACCACCTAGATCGATCCAGCCGCGAGAGAGCGAGAGAGCGAGAGAGCGAGAGAGCGAGAGAGCGAGAGAGCGAGAGCGAGAGAGAGAGAGGTGAGCGGAGTGGCCAAACAGCTGCGCGCGAGACCCACAACAGCAGCTCCGAAACATCGCGGCGTTGGCAATGGGGAAAAACCAACCTGGGTCTGCACGCCGGGAAGCGTATACTCGCTGCTCACCGACTGCTTGGTGTGACGGCAATAGAGGTTCTTCATCACCTCCTGCAAAAGGGGAAATAGGGGAGGGAACCCCCAAGCCAGCGATGATTAGACAAACACCAACGCAGCAGTGAACCCGAGGGGAGGGTTGCGGCGACAACGGACCAGTTCCACGCTGGGCATGTAGGTAACGCCATAACGCAAGTTCTGAATGCCGAGGCCTTCCTCCTCGTTCTGGTGCCGCCGAGTGCACACACGCGAATGGAAGAACAGTTATGACTCGCGTTGCAATGGAAGGGGAGCCTGCGGCCAAACATGGCACACGAACCTTTTCCATAGGCGTCTTGTCCTTCTTCTTTTGATCTGGATCGATGGGCTTCTTGACCTTGAGGCGCAGGAGGTCGAGCGCATTGTGCAGAGAGGTGCGCCCGTGGGGGAAAGGCGAGCCCGTGATATACCACCTGTGCCCACGACGCAAGTGGTGGTCCCACAGGGTTCAGTACGGCTGGCTGGCTGCCGGCTGGCCGGTAGGATTCTTGTATAAGAGGCAGGCCGTGGTTCGCACCTGAAGGTGGCCTGGATGGGGCTGATGTCGTCGATGCCGGTCTTGCCCTTGCGGCCGACGCCCATGGGCAACTCGTGCGCTTCATCGAGAACCATGCGCATCCAGCGGAACTGCGTCAGGAGTGGGCTCCTCCTTTGCGCCAGCTTCGGATCGTCATTGCCCAGGCTCGACGGCTGACAGCTCGGGCGCACTCCCTCGTAGTTTTTGTTGCTGCCAAAGACGGAAAGAAAGAAATTGATATATGTAAGGCACAAGCAAGCACTACCTCGCAGAGGGGAGCGTAGACATACACGAGGAAAGAGAAGGACACGACCACAAGGTCAGCCTCGAGGATATCCTTGTAGGTCACATTACGGTGCTGGAGAATGGTCGAGATGACCAACACCTGTTTTGCGGGCGCGAGAAAATCATTCGTTAGGGCGTGATACGGAGCGGTCAGAAGGGGACCACCCCAGGGGGGGAGGAAGAAAGGGAGAGCATCTGAGTCGTGCCTTGAGAGCTGGGTTGGTGTGCTTGCCCACTTCGGTTTCCCACTGCTTGGCGAGGTGGCTGGGGCACAGGACAAGCGTCGCTTTGGTGCGGAACATGTTCTGCAGAGAGAGAATATGGGGAGAGAGCGGAGAGTGGGACTCAGCCACACGCCACACGCCACACGCCACACGCCACACGCCACACCACACACCACACACCACACACCACACACCACACACCACACACCACACGCCACACGCCACACACCACACACCACACGCCACACGCCACACACACCAAGCTCTCAACAAGAGAAATTAAGTGTTGGCCGGCGCGTACATCAGCCAGAGGGAAAAGAGCTTCATCGCGCGCAAAGATCTTCTCGATGTTCTGGCGCTGAAGGGTGATGAGCGCGAGGATGATCAACGTCTTGCCCAGACCCTGCGAATGAGCAGCACGGCAGGTACACGTAGCGGTTAGGTTCCCTGGCGGAAAAAACACGAAACTAAACTAAATACAAGGCCGCGCGCTAAACAAAGGTAACAGTACCATTTCCTCGGCCAGGATACCACCACGCGTGTAGATGCGAACGAAGTGCTTGTACTTGTCCAGCTGCTCGTACGTGGACAGCGCTGTACCATCGGGGCTCATGTAAATCTGGAGAGAGTGAGGGACAACCAGAGCGTCATATAAACCACCTTAGTGAGCGTGCTCTAGCACCCAAGATTGCGGTGTGGGAGCGGAAGTGGAGGGAGGCGTTGGGTAAGAAAACATACATGAGTGCCGATGTTATCGGGGAAGCCGATAAGGCGGACCGCTTCCCAGTACATGCCACGACTCACGCGATCCTCGATTTCCTGAACATATCAACCGGTTGAATACCCCCCCCCTCCGATTAGAATCTCGATCCGCAAGAAATGGTCGGGCCATAAAGGGGACAGAAAGCTCACCGTCATCCAGGTCAAGCTCTCGAGCTGATACGAGTACAGCTTGGACACGACGGCTTCGGGCTTGGTGTGCCTGAAGGGCTTGTCGATTTCGACCAACGTACCCTCCTGCGACGAGACTTCGACATCCATCGCACTCTGGTGGGTCCCGAGAGACATGCCATCAGGTCAGCAGCGCTGGCGTGCGCAAAGAGAGCCCACCACGCACGCCACCGACGGAGATAGCACATACCGATTCATCAACAGCGCTGGCCTTTTCCTTGCCCTTGCCATTCTCCTGCGACTCGCGCAGCATCTTCCGCTCTTCAATGCGTCGCTGCTTTTGCTCTCTCTTGTGGCATTGCAGCCAGTGGGGAATTGACTGCTGCTCGTACGCCCTGATCCGAAATATGGGGTCAGGCCATGCACAGCCGAATGGAAAACGGCACATGAGCCTCTCTCTCTCTCTCTCTCTCTCTCAGCCGCGCAGTACCTGAAGTCGGTCGAGGTGGCGGCGTCGTTCATGACATTGTACAGGAACTGTACGTCGACCTTGGTCAGCTCGTCTTGCCAACGGCCCTCATCCACCAGTTGCTCCAAGTACCCTGCATCACAAGTGAATTGGGGTTTAAGCTTTCGAAACCTTAGCCGCGCGCGAACCCGGATGGAGGGAGTTTATGGGGCCGTACCAATGTTGAGGAGCAAGACGCCGGTGACTTCGTCTTTGCCGTCCGAGTGGAGTAGGCGCCACCTCCAGAGCTTCGGGTTGCACAAGCTTTTGTACTGCAAAAGGAACGATGGTCAGATTTGCAATCGCCCATTGTCGATTTGGGGCGGGTTTGTGGGTGGGTGGGTGGGGGAGTGTGAGGCCACACCCGACGCGACGTGAGGCAAAAGTCCAACCTTGTGTGTGCGGGTGCGGGGGCTCACCTTGCCAGTCGTACGGAGCAGGTCCTCTTCGCGGCGCGATCCGATCATGTAGTGCTCCAGCCACCAACCGTCGGACCTGAACGAACGTCCTCCTCCCCACCCGCCCGCAGTAAACCTGATTCACACGAAAAAGAGCGAAGCCAGGAGGAACGATGATGATGACGATGATCGCTAACTATGAGTTCAGCGACCCTAGCGCGAGGAGAGAGGCGTTGAGAGGCGCTACGCACACGAGGAGACCCAGGCCGAATTTCTTGTCGAGGTACTTGTCGTTGCGGTTGAGCATGTACTGCCCACAGCCGGTAACCGGATCTTGGTGGTACACTTCGTCAAATTCATAATCCGTCAGGTTGGGGTTCGCGGGGGCAGCGTTATGATATTGAGTCAGGTCTTGGACGTCAGCGATGGCACACTCCCGGTCAACAATGGGTTCATCCCGAATGAACCGCATGGCGTATGCACTGCACAGCACGCAACAAGCACGACACGACACGGAGAATAAGAATGCAACATGACCACAGTGAGTAGAAGAAGAAGAGTTCGTACTGGAATTGATTCCAGCCCCAGTTGTTGTAGGGTTTCAACACCAGCGGCTCAGCGACGAGGTACTGTGAGGAAAGGAAAGGATTAATCATAGTGGAGGGTTATAGCGCGAGTGTGTGTGCTGTGTGTGTCGGTAGGGCTAATACCTGGCGCTTCCAGAAGAAGCTGTCGCTCAAGAGCCCCTTCCAGGCTGAGCACACACCCATCGCCTGTCCCATGGTCGCTGAAGGGTTTTTGTTAATGAGTTTGATAACCGCCGCATCGGGAGGGTGCAGTGCGGTGCGGTGCGTGTACCGGCATTGAAGAAGGAAAAGATGTGCATGACGGTCTCGGTCGGCAGCTCATCAAAGCACGAGGACCCATCAGCAGGAGGGTCATAGTAGAGAGGCAGCGCGCCCTCTTCGTCAGTGTACACCTGGGGTCCAGTCGTGTGGTCCTCTCCGACGCCATCATCTTCATCGAGCTCTGTGAAGCGCGTAATGATCAATAATCGTTACCACCTGGATACATAAGATCAACAAGTAGGAGGAACGTAGTATAGTTACCCTCAAGCATGGTCTGTTGCGGCATGCCAAAGTTGTTGAAGTTGGTCACCGCCTCGACGCGCCCATCCTCCTGCACTTGCTTGAGCAGCCAGTGGTGGTGTTGCAGCAGCACCCACCGATCCTGCACCACAGGTAGCGCCCGCACGAGCCAATCAGCCGCACCGCACACCCTCGCCAGGCCGCGTAAAGAGTTGAATAAAATGGAAAATAGAAACAAAGAGAGTAGAACAAAAAGAAAAATGGCGGGAAAGCCAAATTGGCTTTAAAATAAATAAAATAAAGAAAAAGAGGAGGGCCATGCGGCTGGCTACCCGAGAGGGGGCGGGAGCGTCGTCGCCGTCGGCAGTGGCGGTGGCGGGAGCCGCCACGGGAGTCGGGCGGCGAGGGGGCGGGGCACGCGGGACGGCACCGAGGCCGAACAGGTCGCGGTAGGAGGCGTTGATGAGGTCGTTGGCCGAGTAGCTGTTGCTACGCACGAGCTGGGCTGGACCCCTCCGGCGGCCTCGCCTGCTGTCGTTGAGCATCTTCTTGCGCTCCTCGCCCCACGTCAGTGCGGGCTTGGCCTTCTTCTTTTTCTCCGTGCTATCGTCTTCTTCGCCACCGTCCTCTTCTTCCTCCTCTCCATCTTCTTCTTCTTCTTCAGCGTCGTCGTCGTCGTCGCTGACTTTTTTGGCCTTGGCCGGCGACTGCTTCTGAGCGGCGCGCAGTCGCTTGGAGCGGCGCACCGGACCAGTGTCCTCTTCTTCCTTGGCCTCCTGCTCCTCTTTCTCTTCTTCTTCTTCTTCGGGGGTGAGCTCTACTTCGTCCTCCTCTGCGGCCTTGCGCTTCCTGCCGGAGCGGCGAGGCGAGGCCTTGGCGGCCTTCGGCTTGGCCTTGGTGGACTTCGGCTTGGCCTGAGACTTCTTCGCGGGCGCCTTCTTCTTCGTGGCGACGGCCTTGCCACGGGAGGCGACTTTACGAGTCTTCTTCGATTTGGGTTCTTCATCCCCGTCGTCGGAGGATTCGGAGTCAGCCTTGGCCTGCTTCTTCACCTCCTCCTCAAGTTCCTTGCGCTTGCTCAGCCTCGATGAACGTCTCATGTTGTACGCAGCAAGTTGGGGAGACCAAATCGACCAGTCGACCACTCCGTCCGCACAAATTCTTAGGCCCCCCCAAATTCATTCCGCCAACAAATCCTTATTTTTTTACGCAATCTATTTAATAATTAATAATTTGGTTGTCGGGTCCCAAGCAAGCGCGAAATAACCATTTTCTCGGTGGGGTTTTCTTTTCAAGCAACGACCACATCAGATCTGCGGGTTTGTTGGCCCTCCGCAATGGTGCCTATCTTCCCCCATTACGCCCACAGAGTTCCTTTTGTGGACTTTTTTCAATCTCAAGGATGACTCAATTTGATCGTGTTTCCGATCTGCGTTCTACAGTATGGATTGCACGGGAGCGGCGGCAATAACAATGGTCAATGGCGAGGAGGACGCTACGCAGTGCTCGTAGGTCTCGCCCTCTTCGCCCTGTGCACGCTGTGGATTATCGAACGCCAATTTCTGCCTTCCACGCCGGTACTTCGTCCCATGCATCTCTTCCCCCCCCCCATCCATACCATTCTTCTTTGCAGAGAGATGACATAAAGATGTTCATCTTTGTTCCCTCCCGCGGGGGCGGGGGTCCACCTGTCCTACGTCGTGCTTCGACAGCCACCCAGCTGCAACGCGGTGGTGCATAACTACCCGCCCGGAGACCAGCCGCCGGGCAAGAACACCCCATACGTGCCGCCCTACTTTGTCCTGCCACCCATGCCCAAGCTTACAGGCGGCGCCAAGCGCATCCTCATCACCGGCGGCGCTGGTACCGCTCTTTCCGCTCTTCTTCTTCTTCTTCTGAAAGTGGGGGCGGGGCGGCGGGTGCCATATCCCCCGATTTGTGCTCACGCACACACCTTTCTCGTCTGCTGTGGTTTTCTTGTTTCGTGATTCGTGCATTCTTGTTTCTCGTTCTGCCGTACCGGCCAGGCTTCATCGGGTCGCACCTGACCGACCGGCTGCTGTCGGAGGGCCACGTGGTGATCGTGCTGGACAACTTCTTCACCGGCAATCGGGAGAACTACCAGCACCACCTGGCCAACCCCCGCTTCCACGTCCTCGACTACGACGTCGTCGACCCCATCTACCTCGACGCCGACCAGATTTACCACTTGGCCTGCCCCGCCTCCCCGTACGCACCACAGTCCTTCTGGGCTGCCCACTTAGTGGCCTTCTCTTCTGCTCAGCCGTCGGCTAACTTTTAGAGGGGGGTGGGGGTTTACGTGGGTCGGGTGCACCGCGAGCGCAGTGTGCACTACCAGTACGACCCCATCAAGACGATGAAGACCAACGTGATGGGCACCCTCAACATGCTCGGCATCGCCAAGCGTACCGGCGCCCGCTTCCTGCTGGCCTCCACGTCCGAAGTGTACGGTGATCCCGAGGTGCACCCGCAGGTGGAGGAATACCGCGGCAATGTCAACACCACCGGCATCCGTTCCTGGTACCGACACGCTCTATTTCACTTCTTAACCCTTCTTTTTCTTCCCACTTTCAAGGAGGTTCGGTTCTTGTTGTTGTTGTTGTTAGAAATTTCTGATATATCTGCGCGTGGTTAATAATGGCGTTTTCTAACGCATGCACGCGTACAGCTACGACGAGGGTAAGCGAGCTGCTGAAACGATCGCGTTCGATTACCACCGCGCGCACGGGGTGGAGATTCGCGTGGCTCGCATTTTCAACACCTACGGGCCGCGTATGAACATCCACGACGGTCGCGTGGTGTCCAACTTCATTACTCAGGTGAACGCTCGGCCTTCCCCTTCTTTTTTTCCCCTTCTTCGGCTGACATCGATGTGGTGGAATGTCCATTCTGTTCGGGGGTTTGTGCTGTGCGTGCGCCAGGCACTGATGGGTAACCAAATCACGGTCTATGGCGAAGGAAAGCAGACCCGCAGCTTCTGCTACGTCTCCGATCTGGTGGACGGCCTCATGCGCCTCATGAACGGGGACTACATCGGGCCGGTCAACCTCGGTACAAGGACATCCCCCTCCACCAGCCAGGAAGGGGCTGGGCGCTCGCCCTCTTTCGCCTGGTGGGATCGATCGGATTGCGCAAACAAACGACATCCTCACCCTCCCTCTCCTCCCTTCAAAGGAAACCCGAATGAGATGACCGTGCATGAGCTGGCCGTGAAGGTGAAGGGCGTGATCGACGACAAAGTCAAGATTGTATACAAGGACCTGCCCTCGGACGATCCCCGCAGACGACAGCCCGACATCACCAAGGTCCGTCCCCGTATTACAGCCCCACCTCGAGCTCACCTTTCTGAGACTTGACGCAAAGCATCTTGGATCGATCGATCGATTGATTGATTGATTGATTTATTGGTTGATTTATTTATTGTACTGCGCGGGTCCAGGCGAGGAAGTATCTCGGGTGGGAGCCCCAAGTGACGCTGGACGAGGGCCTCAAAAAGTCGATCGCCTACTTCACCAAGGCCGTAGAGAAGGAGAAGGCCGAGACCGCGTCATCCTAAGATCAGTACCCGCCAAGGCACGTGAAGGGTAGAGGCCGATTGATAGCGCGATTTTTTTGTATGTTTGTTGTCTCGCTCCCTTGGCGGCGCGAGCAACACTCTTATTTATTGGGCTGGCGATGGTCGTCGAGGCTCCACGAAAAACATTTGCCACAGCTCCGGGTCCTGCTCGCCTCCACCTGCCCCGCTGCTGCTGCTCCCTTTCTCCTGGGGCTCCAGCAGCGGGCGGCCGTTGACTGCGGCCCGCCAGCGGAAGCTCCCGTCGCCCTTCTCCTCCCCGAGAACGAGGCGCGGCTGCCCACGTTTGCTGCTGGCCCCCTCCCTCCGCCACAGGTGGTCCTTGGTGCCGGGCTGATGCGAGACGGTATGCGCTCCGTCGGGTCGCATGACCAGGAACTGGCCCGTCGCTGCCGATCGGAACGTAAACGTTGACGCCACCTGTAAAATATTAAATATAATCAGAATATTATTATATTTATTATATTTTATAATAAATAGAAAAAAAAAATATAATTATAATCAACAGAGAAGGGGACAGCGGGCAGTACTCGGTTGTGTCGAGAGGCCAGCCACACGAGCTCGGGTCCGGCGCCGCCGATGCGCATGCAGGTGCCCTGTCGGCTTTGGCCTTGGAGGTCCACGGCGAGGAAGCGGCCATTGCGCGCGAGGAGGACGCCCCGCTCGCGCCTGTCGGGCGGGGCGATGTCCAGGCCCAGCTCAGCCTCGATGGGGGCCTCCGTGCTGCCCACGCTGTCGTCCATCTCGTGCTCGCTCTCGACCACACCCCAGGTCATGGCGATGAAGTCGTCGAGCGAGAGGCCCACCGGGCCGCTCCGGCGTGGCCACCAGTAGGCCCAGAACTTGCGCTCGATCCACCGCAGGAAGCCCTCCACGTAGATCTGCGGGCCGCCGCCTTCGCCCCACATGGGCGCCGTCTCCTTCCACTGCATGAGCGAGTGCACCAGGTAGGGCAGGTGCACTTGCCCGCTGGCGAGGGACACGTCCTCCGCCTGACCGGCCGAACCTGTCCACCACCACCACCACCACACGCAGATCATCGCAGCCGTCAGTCTCACACGCCTTCCACTGGGGGAGGGAGAGAGCCACCTGCGGCGGGCACGATTCGTTCGATGACGTCCACATCGATGACGCCGAAGGACTGAGACGAAAACTGCAACGAAACGTTTGCCTCTCTGTAAGGAGGCGCGCGCGCAAATGTGTGAGACCCTGATGGGACTCTGGCGTGTGGTCAGTCATCACACGAGTCTTGAGGCGGCCGCACCGATCTCTGATATCGAAGGGGACCGCGATGATGATGGGCTCGGAAGCGAGCATGCTCTGTACATTCTCCACGAGCTTGCCGCCCAGATTCCTGCCGATTCACACACACAACACACAACACACAACACACAACACACAACACACAACACACAACACACAACACACAACACACAACACACAACACACAACACAAGTGAGTGATTGCCATCAGTCCACCGATAGAAAGCCCATGATCAGTACCGGAAGAGGGTCGAGGCTCGTGATCTGCTTGCGGCGAGAGCCTCTGACGCAGCCTGTTGCCTCTCTGTTGCGTTTCGCCCGCGGGCCACGAGTCAGCAAGCGAACAAACACACTTCTTTCTCTGCTCAAAGATGAGAGTGGGCTTGGGCACCTTTGACGCCCGCGAGGAAGTCGGCGTCGACCAGGTTGAGCAGGCGCTCCTGGAACTGGAGAGGCTGCCGCGTCTGCAGATGCTTGGCGTAGTACAGGGCCCTTCCCTTCGCGGTCGGCGGCAGGCGGTAGTGGAGCACCCGGAACAGCGAGAACGCCCCGCCCAGGTAGGGCAGAAACCCTTCCACGTTCTTGGTCGCCTCGCGCCACACCTTTCATCACGGAAAGGGCAGGAGTTCCGAGTCAGCACTGGCGCGACAACGGTGGAGCGGGTTGTGATTGGGGTGGATGGGGGGGGGGATACGTGGTCGTTGGAGCACCAGAAGCGCCAGGTTCGGCACACCGCCGATACCCGCAGAAGGGTTTCGAAGTTGCAAAAGCGCAGCACTCGAACGGCCAACTCGACGCCAATCGGACTCAACGGGTCGACTGGAGGAGCCGATGGAAGTGAGCGGCGAGTACTAATAGCCCGTCACGAGAGGGAGTTGGCACGAACCGGAGAGGATGTGCGATTTGTTGTAGTCGTTTTCTTCGTTGCGGAAACGCAGGAGGAAGGCACGCTTGTATTGGTTCGTGGTGCCTTTCTCCGACGGTCGTCTGGCGCAACGACACATGTATATGATGACGCATATGGAGGGGGGAAACTCTTGTGATCAGAAGACTGGCCCCAGCCCAGGACGGAAAGAGGAGCGTGCGCACCTCATGTTGATCACGAACTGCAGAAGGAATCGCGTGTCGTTCCAGTTGATTTTGTCGTACATGAGCGCACTGAAGGCCGATTTGCACATCCGCCCGTAGTAATCTGAATGCAGTGCGTCGGCCGCGTGGTTCAGCCACGGAGCGATGGTAGGTGGGGAAGTAGGTTTCCAACGTACCTGGATTCAGGTGCTCGAATATGGTGAACTCGTCGTAGAAGAAGAAGTTTTCCATCCACCCCAAGTACACCTCTCTCACGAACACGTACAGCGTGATGGACAGCCTGCGGGCGGAGAAGAAGGGTCATGCAGCCAAGCTGCCCGCCGATTAGCAACTGTGGGGGTGACATTGCGTGAAGGAGGAGAAGCGTTGGCCAAGGGCAACGTACGCCAGTACGCCGCACGACCAGAAGGGCAGCATGTATTTGCCCCAACCGGTCAGACCCGCTTTGCCGATGAGCCCCGCTCCCTGCTCAAACTGGAAGTCCTTGACCGCCTGCCGACCGACCCAAAGGCAGTTTAGTTCAGCTACTCGTGATGAGACGCTCGGGCTCAATATAATGGCGAGCTGCCACTGCGCACCTCCTCGGCCACCGCTTGGCTGATCTCAGGAGTAGTGCCCCACGCCGAGAACACAATAGCGAGCAACTCGATGGCGGTTTGCTGAATGTGCGGTGGTGAGTGCGAGGTACAGCAACTCAACTCAGAGCAAAACTGCATGCAGGGCCAATAACGGAAGGACAGAAGGAGTACCTTTATGGGCAGCTCGGTGCTGCGACCCGACTGCGAGAAGCCCACGATCCGCCCGATGATCTGTTCGTCCCACTGGACCGAGAGCCTCTGCTCTCTGAACGAATGCCACAGCTCGGTCCGGCTCAGGCCTCCCGCCTCGCGAGCCGCTAACCGTTCGAAAAACGAAGCCACACCAGGTGTCCGGTCAATCAACAATCATGAGGAAACCTGTTCGCCAGGCTACGTGAATGTGGTACCTTTGAAGCTCTTCATGTCGGCTGCGACTGCAGTGGCCAGTGGGTGGTCTGGCCTGAGCAGCTGCCGGTAGAAGCGGTACACCGCCCCACTCACCTCCCTACCGTCAAGTCATCATCATCATCATCATAAGCATCAACAGAGGCTCTGCAGGCCTAGAAGCCCCGAGCACATGCTGCTGCCGTGTGCGTGTGCGTGTGCGTGTGCGTGTGCGCAAGTGCTACTTACTTGTAGAGCATGTGAGAGTGCGGGTGGGTGAGCCGGTCCAGCATCGCGCTGGTGTCGCCCCTTCGGCTCCAGCCGTCGAGGCCTGCGCGCATAGAGCATGAGCGGGCAAAGGAGCATAGAGCACACAGTGCAACGGCGAGAGGAGGCAGTGAGAAGGGGCACCTTCGAGCTGCAGCCATGAAAGCGTCTTCTTGAACAGCAGCGGAGACCGCACTTCGTCCTCCCGCGCCCGAGCAGTTGCCCTCTTCGAAAGTGTCCCGACGCTGGTGTCTTGCTGCGGCCTGGTAAAGTACTTGAAGGTCCCAGGCGCTGCCTTTGCTGGCCGCTGCCAGCCCCCCCCCCGAAACCAACATACAACGTAACGGCGTCAAAACGGAGGCCGCTTTCCCTTCACCAGCCCAGTGCATCCCGGACAGGAGTACCGGTGGTGGCGGACGCGGAGGTGGTGTGGCTTCCATGGCTTGTGGTATGGAATGAGGAATACAACACCACCAGCGCGCAGAAGCTCCACCACCCAGAAGCGGGGTGTCGCAAGATCGTAGAAGAAATGGTTCAGGAAATGTTTTTCTTGTTAACACGCCGGCGACCTAAACAAGACGACGCACACCTTATTCGCCACACACCGCCAACGGTCTTTGAAGCGGTCGTCGGTTTTGTTTTTCTTTATCGTTCCTCTTCGTGTTCCCACCAAGAACTACATCAGTATCGAGTATGGGGCAAGACTTTGAGACCGGGTTGTGCGAGTGCTTCTCCGACTGCGAGACTTGTATGTCTTCTTATTCTTCCACGCAGCCAAGCTGACTGGCATTGAGGCTTATCTCTTTTGTTTGTGCCTTTTGCACGTTGCGTGCGACTAGGTTTGTGCGCGTTCTGCCTCCCCTGCGTTCAGTTCGGCCGCAACGCGCACCCGCTGCTGCCCTGCTCCGGCTGCCTCACCTGTGGTATCTTCTTCTGGCTGTCCGGAGGTTTCACCAACCACTGCATCCTCCTCCAGAACCGCATTCTCATCCGCAACGAATACGGCTACGACGTACGTCTGCCCTTTGCTTCTTTCTTCTTCCTCCACCTCTTACCTCAATGTGACCATCACATTTCGTTGAACGGGGCGCGTGCGCAGAGGTCCGACGGGTGCGACTGCTTCAAGGTCATGTTCTGCACGCCGTGCGTTCTCGCCCAGGAGGGCCGCGTGCTCAAGGCCAAGAAGTAGAGTTGAAGTAACTCTGGCTGACCACAACTACAACAAGGCCTTGCTTTTTGTTGTCGACGTCTGAAGGTGGCTGCTTTTTAGAGATGGAGGGCGGAGGCAGGAAGGGCGTTGCGGCTGAGGAGAACCTCCAGCACACCGCCCACCAGATACAGCGAGCCGGTCACCAACACCCGCGTCCGTACACGCGTTTCACAAGGGGCGGCCTGATGGCGCCACTGGTCGTGCTGGTGCGTGACGGCGTCGAGAGCCGCCGGAATGGAGTCCACCACCACTGCAGTCAGCAGGTCCGAGCCACAGTCGCCATCAAGAGAGGAGTGCTGCTTGGCGAGGGAGCGGTAGACCTGGGCGTTGGCGCGCTGCCACTTGGTCCTCTCCTCCACTGGCCCAGCCGAGCTCGAGCGGCCGTCAGGCCCGCCTGGCCGGGTAACGAACGTGCTGAAGACCGCCGCATCGAACGGCGCTCCTTGCGCCGGCAGCTGCCCACCCGACCGGTTTGCCGCCGTAATGGTCGTGAGCTTGGCGAGCAGCTTGGCCGCCGAGCGATTCTGGTTGCAGTTGAACACCAGAACCCGTCGTTCTTCCACATGCTCGTGCGCGTCTCCTGCCGTGGAGCACACGCCGGCGAACCAGTGCGCGCAGGCTTCAACGCTCTCCTCGGTGTGTGCGCCGTCGAGGTACAGCCACAGCTCGTCGCCGTCGCCCGTCGATCCGGTCTCGCCGCCAGTGGAGGGCTGGTACCGGATGACCTGCGCTCTGCCTGGCCAGCGGCACTGCTCCAGTCCCGTGACGAACCCTTGCGGCAGTCGGCTGGTGGCGCAGGAGGCAGGCGTAGAGGACAGAAAGAGGCGGTCGTCGGCACAGACCTCCTGTTGGATCTTATCCACGTTACGCTGGAGCCACTCTCGGCACAGAGCGACGGCCAGCGAGGCGTTGCCCTTCTGGAACTCGCCGGCAAGGCCTGTACCCACAAGAAATATATGGGCGTAAGTGAGGGCTCACCGGAGCAGTGCAAGCACCGTAGGAATGGGTAGCGCACCTAGCTTGACCGCAGGCTGATCTCTATGCCACATCTCGAACAGAGGCGCCACGACCAGAGTAGTCTGCGGTGCGTAACATTATTACAACCAGGGAGTGTTAAGTGACGCGATCGCTCTCGCGTGGTGAGGGACGTGTGTGTGTGTGTGTGTGTGTGTGTGTGTACGTGTTTGGCTTTGGCGCGTTCGAGCAGGCTCTCCATGGCTTCGTCGCCTTGCGGGGCTGTGTAAGCAGGCACTCCCTCCTGTGAAGAGTGAACAACCCGCCATCAGATTGGCCACTATCCTAAAAGGCAATTGAGAAAAGCCAGTGCGAACCTTGAAGATGCCGCCCTTTTCGAAGGCGATTTGCGTGAGAGTGTCGCCCAGCACGTCCTGATGATCGTAGCCCAGCGAAGAGATGCCGCAAACCACGGGATGCACGACGTTGGTCGCATCCGTCCTTCCGCCCACTCCGACCTCGATCACCGCCACATCCACCTGCACCCGGTGTTATCGGGGCACTACTACTCACAGTGAGCGGGGGCAGGTGTCGGCACCTTTTCCTCGATGAAGACCTTCAACGCGAGGACCGTCAAGAAGCGAAAGTAGGCCGGCATGTCCTGGTGCTTCTCGCTCTGCATCGAGCAGCAGCAGCAGCAGCGAGAGAGAGAGAGAATGAGACCTCGGTTGCAGTTGCACATGATGAGAGGGTCTAGGAGATGTACTCGGGTGGACTTGAGGCAATCCCACACCTCCCAGAAGTAGCGAGCGAACGTCTCCTCCTCCAGCGCCTTCCCGTCGATACGAATACGCTCTCTACGTAGACGTATACCACCAGCAGCACCAGAAGGTCAGCCACGCGTAGGTCCAAGCCACGCACGGCACAACGGCCGTCGCCATGCCGCATCGTCGCAGGTACCGGACGTGCACGAGGTTGGGCGAGGTGAAGAGGCCGGTGCGGAGGCCATAGCCGCGGCGGAGGATGCTCTCCACAAAGGCACACGTGGAGCCCTTGCCCTTGGTGCCCGCCACGTGCACGCACGACAGGCGCTTGACCTGCACCGCAAAACAGCGCTTAGCTTGGCCGCGACAGAGGAGGTGGCCAAACAAGTTCTTCCCGGGAGGGTGGTTAGAATACGTCGAGGTTGAGGTGGGCGAGACTGTCGGTCATCTCCTCGAGGAGGCTGACGGCCTTGTCCTGTCGCCTCGCCGCTTGCCAGGCCGCCGCCCGCTCAGGAGGCGACATGAGCTGCCGCAAAGCGTCCCCCACCTCCTACACGCACCCACCCCCCTGGCTGTTATTTCAAACAGAGGAGAGAGAAAAAGAAATTAGAAAAATAGGGGGGGGGCGTACAGCATAGCCTCGGGCAGGCGTGGCAATGTCCGCGGGGGTGGGGGGCAGCTGCTGGTGGTCCATGGGCGGCGCTGGGGCAGATAGAGACGCTCACACAGCACCAGCAACAAGGAGACAAACGGAAAAGTGTTCTCAAAAAAGAAACCCCCCGTGGCTTCTCCGGAGCCAGCGGCGAATGGGCGGGCCTCCAGAGAGCGAGAAGCACACGGCGGGGAGGGTTGGGACATCGGGTTGAGATGACGGACCTGGCATTTGAGCCCACCACCGTGCAATCAATTTACTCACACACTCAATCGCTGTAGAGCTCATCATAGTCGTCGTCACCATCGTCGTCTTCCACACTGACTTCCTCCTCCACTTCATCCTCTTCTGGTTCAGGCGGCGCCGCTGCTGGGCCACGCAGCCGCAAGCTAACCTTGAGCGGCCGATACTCGCTCTCGTCTTGTTCCATGTACTCGTCCTCTTCCTCCTCTTCGTGGACTTCGATCAACTCCTCCTCCTCCTCCACGTAAAGCTCTTCCTCTTCCCAATTTGGCTCCTGCCCTCGCGCACGTACATAGAACTAACGTTAGTCTACGCGGACCACGAAGCGTTGAACAGATCGGGTTTCGCTGGGTGAGTACCTCGGCCGCGGCCCTATTGGCCCCACTCCTCCTCGCGGATCGGCGTGGTGGTGGTGGTGGGGCGATCTCTTCCACAGCACTGCCACTCACGTCCGCGTCGGCCCTGGACCGCTTGGGCCGGCCCGCGTGACGTGGGACCGTAGATGGCGGGAGATGAAACGATTCATCACTCCCCTCGTCGACCCCGTTGTCCTGACCATCGCCCGCTCCCTCCACGCTTCCAGGTTCCTCCTCTTCCTCCTCGATGAACCGCTTGGGCCTGCTCCGCTGCCGTTCGCTCCGCCGCTGCGACACGTCAGCCGACGATGCCATAACGGCTCGAGTCGAACGGGGAACGGGCTGCCGTGTCTCCATCACCTGCTCCGAATAGCTGTCCCCGCCGTCCTCGTCCTCTTCCTCAATATACTGCACTGCTCGGCGTTGCCTGCCACTTCGTCGCGGGCCAGCGGCGCGCACCTCATCCTCGACTGAACCAAACGCGACTGGGACGGAGTGCGCCTTTCCTCGGGGCGGCCTTCGGCCGTAGCTCGTGCCACCGGTGGCTGTGGTGGCGGTGGTGGTCGTCGCGGTGTAGGTCGAGGGCGCCAGGGGCGTGCTTGCCGGGCGAGCGGGCGCAGCGGGCGACGCGCCCTGCAGGGCTTGGCGGACCAGGTCCGCTGAGATCCTCAGCTTCACCACGGGCCTATCCTCAGCGGCTGGTCGTATTGGCGATGGCGGTACTGCTGATGGCCCCCAATCCTCCTCGTCGCCCTCCTCTATCGGCTCCTGGTTCGTCGTGGAGTAGTCGCCAGCTGCGTCGTCGAGCAGATCATCAAGGCCCATTTCGAGACCCTGTCCGTCTTCTTCGTGGCTCACGGTGGTTACGCTTCTCCTCCTGGCCCTCTTGAGCCGGAGCTTGCGCGGAGGCGACTCGCTGTCCTCCGCGGCGCGGCCTTCTTCGTCGTCGAAGAAGAACTTCTCCTCCTCCTCCTTTTCCTTGCCTTTGACACTTCTGGGCACTCGCCTTGGCGGAGTCATGCCGCTGTGTGCAACGACGTTCCCTTCTTGCATGTAATTCTCGTTCGGATCGACAACCTCGACTTCCTCCATGTCCTGCTCATCGTCGGTTTCGACGTGATGCCCTGCGAGCAACGGGGGGTCAGCACCGCCGAAGAGTCTCTTCGCACACTAAGGGAGCACGGTACCATGCTCTCGAAGGACCTGCAACAGCTTTTGCTTCAGCCGCTTGCCCGACGCAATTATATCGCTGCCCGGCTGATTGAACGAAACCGCGTTGAATACCATCAGGCGAATGTCCGCTTCAAAAGCCTGCCAGCCAAAAAACGGAAGAAAGGCGTTAGTTGAGTTGACGCTTCGCACCACCAACCGAACCGCGATGAGCGTACGTGCAAGGAGCGGTAGTAAAGGTTCCGCAGGCGCAGAGCCATCGTGGAGAGGTCGATCGGACAGAAGACCCGCTTGGTGTAACCAGCTACGAGCTTCAACGAGACCGGCTGCCTGAACCACACGCTGTCACCGTCCTCCATAAGCTCCTCCACCGCCTCGGCCAGTCGGCGGTACACTAACTCGTCCAATGGAGATGCCCCTAGGGTCAGCACTATTTGGTGTAGCGTAAGGCATGATCGGGGGAGGTTTAAACCTTCTCTATCTACAGGCGGTGATGTGGCTGAGCCAGCGCTATCGAAGTGGTACTCCTTCGACTCCCAGGGCGACACTCGGGTGACGCCCCCCGTGCCGGCGGGTTCTCCCGGTTCGTCGTCCCAGGCCACCTCTAGGCAGTCCCACTTGCTGTCGGGAAAGGTGTCCGGTGACAGGGGCGACACCGAGAGCACGGTGCCCGAGTACCATGCGGCCTGGCGCACGGAATCTGTGATGGTGGTCGACTTCCTGGACGAGACGCCGTCCTCCTATGTGAGGCGATGCAGAGCACAGCCGGTGAGATTTCAAGCCAAGCGAAAATAAGAAGCGTGTCGGAAGGGGGCGGGGGAGTAGAACCTTGCCGGAGAAGAACAGGACCGTCACGCGCCTCCCGACGTGGCAGGCCTCCAGCGAGCTCTCGTAGCGGCTGCGCAGTACGAGGAAGTCGACGGTGCGGGTTGTCGGGTGGTAGGAGAGCATGAAGCGTCGGTTGGCGTTCAACGACTCCTCGGGCTCGTACGACTCGTCTTCGCCAAGCATCGACGGGCTGGGAGGCACCGGCAGCGTATCGAGCAGCTCGAGGGTGAGGAGCGTCTGAATGCCGTAGGGCGACGGCCGGTACTCGATCTGCACCACTCGGCACACCTCCTGCGCGCGAAGCCTCGGGAATGTCTCCCATGGGGGCGTCGGATGCTGGACCTTTGCAAACTTCTCTATGTGAATTGAGTGACCCTGGCGGAAGTAGACCACCTCGTCGTTGACCTGTTGTGGGGCGCGAATGTAAGTTCAGCGACTCAGCATGGTGGTAGCAGCGGGAACGTACTTGCGGAATGTAGACTTGGGTAACTGGGCTATCCGGCTCTGTTGCAGTTAGCCAGTCGGGCCAACTCTTGATGCCCCTCACCTGGTAGAACGCACGCGCACATGCGATATCAAGTATCAGCATTGCCGCCAAATGAGTAGCTGCTCGGCTGTAATGAGGGCCGCACCTTGGTCATTGCTTGCAGTTTGCTCTTCATGGGATGGTCTGCGTAGCCCTCCTCACCGTCACCGAGTCTGATCCGTTTCCTGCTCCTTCTCTTGGGCCTGCGCGCGAATGAAGCGGTAAGTTAATCGGGCAAGGAAAAAGAGAGAGTGAGACATGTTAGAGCCACGGGCACTCAGGTACCTGAGCCGGCGGCCTTCTGGTGGTGTTTGCTCTGCTGTTGTGAAGACACCGTCCTCCCCTATGATGATGGTGCTGGGTATAGGTATGGTCTCATCGAGCGGCAGGTTCTCCTTTCGAGCTCGGGAACGGGTGCGCGGCCCTGGTTCGCTCTCCGAGCTCTCGCTGTGGTCGTCTTCGTCGGAGCTCAACCTGAACCGCAATTTGCGCTTTCGCGGCTGCAGCCTCCTATTACCCTCTGCGTGCGTGGCGTCACATCAGGGCCGAGCGAGCTGAAGCGCGCCGAAGAGTGGAAGAAGAGTGTACCGAACGATGCGTCCCCAAAGGACTCGGGCTCGGAGAAAGGCTCTTCGTCGGATGAGCCCTCGCAGAACTCGGACTCTTCCGAGTCCTCCGCCCTTCAGAAGTGAAATCTTCGTGAGTCATGCAATTCTCCCGAGAGCAGCAAAAGCGCAGGCAACGTACTCGGGTTCTTCTTCGCCGCCGCTGAGCAGCGTGACCTCGTCCCTCGTGCGAACGCTGTCTCGGATGAGAGACATGAGACGGGCACGCTCCTGCTCGTATTCACCGACATCTACACCTATCGTGCCCACCTCTGTACGGCAGACGCACGCAGATGTGAGTGTCTCGCGCGAGTTCGAGACACCTCTTGCAGGGTGTGAACCTACCTCCGACATAACCAGGAGGTTGTTGTTTGTAGGGCACTCCATCAATGGTGCAGAGAAGCGGTTTGGGCATTCGGTGAGGCGGCAGCTGAGCGAAGTGCAAATGCACGAGAGGGGGTCAGAGAGGGGTGAACAAACACGATGAAGCGCCTGACATGTCAGCAGTACCTGCGTGGCTTCGTCCAGCACCCAGTGATTGAGGTCTCGCAGGAGCGGATGATAGTCGGTCTCAAAGAATTGCTCCACTGGCACGCTCTGCAAGAGGAGGAAGAGGAGCATCAAGCATTTAGGTGCCAAGTGTGGTGTGGTGCTCAAAAAAGCTGCGGTACGTACCTGGTATTTCTGTGTCGGGCCAGTGCCGTACAAGGTGTAGAAGCCTTCGTGATCCGACGCGGCAAAGTAGGCGCCGTTGCGAGCAAAGTGGCCGTCGAAGAGTTGGCGATCCGCGTTCTTGTGGCCTTTTCAAAAACAAGCAAGAACGCAGAGTTACTTCACGGAGCCAAGCAAACGTTCACATGGGCAAAGAGGAGGCCCAAGACACGCACTCTGCACAGCTTCGCCCTTGTTGATGTCCCAAAAGGTCACGCGGCCATCGTAGCCAGCACTCACTATGATCCGCGGGTCGACCGGGTGGGAATCCAGCACGTACACCGAGTTGGTGTGCCCGCGCAGCGTATGCACCAGGGCGCCTGTCTTGGCGTCCCATACCTGACCACCAGACGAGAGCAGTGAATGATCAGCTTCGTGCGATATGGAATGACGAACGAGGAAAAGACGTGATGTATGTACCTTGATTGTAAAGTCGGAGAGAGCGGTGATGACGTACTGATCGTCCAGGCTCCATAACGCCATGGTGACGATGATGGGTAAGGTATGCTCGTTGGTGCCGGTCCCAGTGGCCGTACGACGGGGCCGCTTGGGCTCGGGCTGCCTTTGCTCCGACTCCTCCGCGGTTTGTGGGGCCGGTGGCTGGACGGCCACTAGTTCGCACAACACTCACCTTAGGCCCCGTGCCATGAGGGGTCCATTGGGGGGACAGAGAAGACGCACATGAAATGCAGGAGCGGTCCTGCACGCGCCATATATACACTTGACCGTCCCAAGATCTGCAACGAAAGGTGGATGTAAGCACGAAGAAGGCATGCTAAGAAGGGTTGCGCGGTGTGAAGGTCTGTACCCGGTGAGTATGCGATCGCTGTTGTTGCTGAACAGAGCGCAATGGACTGAGTCCGTGTGGCCTTCTAAAGTCCAATACGGTTCTGGTGATGGAATGGGGAACGTTGACAACAGTTAGACGGCATGCCGAGGACCTAACGTGGAACTGAGCGAGAAACGCGAGAGGAGCAGTACCGGTGGAGTGGGCGGACGAAACGGCCCACACTCGGGCAACATTGTCGCTGCATCCGGTGACAAAATAGGTGCCCGTGGCGTCGAAGTTTGAACACAAGACTTTGCTCACAAAAATCGGCGCCAGCACGACTGAGCGCGTCTCGAAGACGTCACTGAGAGGGCACCACACAGCACCCACATGAAGTGAGTTGGAGCCGAGGCTGTTAGCAGTCAACGTCGACTGAGCGGCCGCGTATGAACTTCGTACCTGTCCCCCTGCGCCATCTGCTGCGCCATCTCGTCAACCCACCATAGGCGGGCAGAACCGTCGAGCGAGGTAGACAGAAGCACGCGAGTCTTGGGGAAGGGCGAGGGCGAGAAGGCGACAGCTGTGACGGCGTTGGTGTGCCCAGACAGGACAGCGATGGGGGAGAAGTCGCGGAGGGACCATACGCGGACGATGTTGTCGTTTGAGCCACTGGCTATGTACTTGTTTTCCGGGTCAATGCTGATGTCTGTAATGTCGCCCTGTACGCCGATTGCGCCGTGAGACGATAAAGCGAATGAGCAAATGTGTGGGTGCTTCGAAGTACCTCGTGCCCTCGCAGTGTTGCAACCAGACGCCCGGTTTCAACGGACCATATTTTGACCAGCTTGTCATCGGAGCCCTGCGCGTTACGTATTACTGCTTGATTAGTAGTAGTAGCCCAACACTCCAGAGCGGCATAGTCCGTACCGTGGCCAGGAGCCGGCCCGATTTGTCGAACTCGATGCAATAGACGGCGCACACGTGGCCGCGATTTACCTTCAGCTGCAGCACGAATACAGCAGAGGCGGCGTGTTAGACTGTGCGCGCGTGCAGTGGGGCGTGTGCACCCTTTATGAGGTATACCGGATGAAAGTGCTTGTAAACGTAAGGCATGGGCCGAAGCTTGGCCGGCAGTCGCAATCCCATCTCTCGCTGGCGAAGTATGTGCGCTGCACGCACCGCCAATCAAAGCAAACGAAGAAGTCGGTGAGCAAAGCGTAATCAGCACTGCGCATGGCTGAGCTCGGGCTACCATAAGACGTGGCTTCCACAGCAGTGGTGTGGATGAAGGGAACAGAGTGGCCGAGATGGACGCTCGAAGAGAAAGGACGGGAGGCGGGCGGCTGTGCGAGAAGTGAAGAGTCGCCGGAGCCCAGAAGGGTGGTCAGCTGCTGGAGCGGTGGCGGTCGCTTCTCCCGAGACAGCGCAATCAGCCGCTGCAGGAGCTGGAGGAGCTGGTCTGACGGCACATCGAAGTGCTCGGCCTGGGTCACGGCACGAGGAGAGCATGGGCGTGAGCGCACCACAAAATGGTGTTGGGGAGGCAGAGTATACTTACGAGCGTTAGCGGATTAGGAGGCAGGGGGGTGCCAGTCCAGTGATAGGCCCGAGGAAGGAGATTGGCCCTTGTGAGGTCCTCGAAGAGAACCTGGGCTGAGCGTTGAAGTGGCCCGGCAGAGGCCAGCAGGCGCCAAATCAGGTAGTAAACCTCTGAATGAGCCACAAAAGACACAAAGTGTGAGTCGTCTCTTTGCGTCGATCAAGATTCCAAGTCCCAGTACCCTCTAGAGGCAAATTGCAGGACTCCATCCGGTGATAGTGCGCAGCCGCTAGCGCATCTCTTGCTGGCTTTCTTTTTATATTCAATAATCATGCCCTCTTTCTTTTTTTCTCTCCTTTTTCTTTGCAATTTTCTCTATCTTCTTTCTACTTCGCCGTCCACGAATAAACAAACAAAAAACTGTCTTCTTTTTCTCCCCTTGGACCAAGTAAAGAACTGCACAGCAGATGTGGACTAATGAGGGAAGTGCTGGAAAAACTCCTAAATTAAAGTTATCCATCCTTAACTTGTGGTCATTTGAAATGAGAGGTCCAGTCATTTTGAAAAGTGATTTTGTTTGTGAGTTTAAGCTCATTAAAATGGTTTTGACAACACAAAAATGGTTTAATGTAAAAATAGCAAGACAAAATTGGGAGCATCTTGAGAAATGGCAGATTAAAATACCATCATAATGAGAGATACAATGCTGTAACTGGGCCATTAGTCAAGGTCTGGAATGACCAATTTCTATCATGTACGTGTATGTGACAACCAAAATATATCAAACCAGACACTTACTTTATCACATACATGTATGTGATGACTACACACGTTTTTTTTTCAGTCCTTTCCTGACCATGGCAACAGCCAGCACACAGAAACCATAAAGGAAAAATCATGGCTGCTGGGAGGAGATATATTAGCAAACATTCTATCATGTACATGTACACAATAGAATGTCCTGCAGTTTCATAGCATAATGGGCTTTGAAAATAGCATGTATGCAATGGGGCAGTTACCTCCTTCAGGAGCTTCAACAGTTCCTTGTTGTTGGCCATGGCTGATGGCAGGCTGACTTGCACCTATGCATACACAACAACAAAAACTGTAAAACCAGACACTTACTTTATTGTGTATGTGTATGTGATGACTACATGTTCAACCTACCACTACTTAGTTTATCATGTACACATATGCAATCTGGAAAATCAGAACTTTGCTTGTTTTGTGTTAGTGCTCCTCTGAAGAACCCAACATGCACCTTGCTTTTACTCTCATACCCTCCATCAATTCCATAATCAGTGGCCAACATGCTGCCCTCACACAGTTCAACCTCACACCATATTCAGTCAGTTGCACACATGGACTGAACTTCATTCTTCACATTTGTGCTGAAGTGGAGCACTATTCCCAAAGATAAAATTCCACCACAACAAAGCTCCATCTCACACTGATACAAAGCACTTTTAACTCCACACATTCCAAGTTTTTATGAAATCATTTTCATCTCAAGTCCCTCAATATCACTTATAAGCAGTGGTATAGCATGTCAATATCAAAGATTCAGATCCAAATCTTCAAAACTGCCCTATAAATCGAAAATGTCAAATCTCACACAATTTTAGCACAACAAAAATTCCATGGTCATTTGTGACCTCTCATTTCAAATGACCACAAGTTCCTTGATGTCAGAGGATGAGGCCTGAACCATCCTCAACACCCATACAGTGTATACTGTCAACATAAAAATACAAGGTAAGTATGACCTCTGCCCTTGCCCAATAATCAATCCAAAGAGGCACTTGACACCTACTTTGGCTGAAGCTGTAACATATTGACCAAGCTCCCCATACAGATTGAATGGACTTCCCACTGAGCATGACACCATTTGGCTGATCAAGATTGACCTGAATGATGCTATGTGTTGGCTGCATGACTGTGAGGCAAACCTCAATGCAGGCAGCAAGCAGAACAATAATTTATTAGCCCTACAATTAGCTGAACTCATTACTGGGACTCCAGAAGACCACGGAAAGCCTCATAGGAGAGGCTCACCTGCTGATCCTCACTGGCTGAGCAGCTCATGACTGGTGTCTGCCAGTAATAGTTCACTGCCAGTTCCTTGTCCTGACCTGTGGTACATGTTGGCACCACCAGTTAAATGTTAATGATTGGGTGACACGCAATGCTGGGGTATAACTGTACCTGGATCAGGGTCACCAAATGCCTTGTTCATGCATCCATTGGGAGTGAACCAATAGCCAAATGCATCAATGCTCTTGCCTCCTGTGATGGTGATATTATTATGAGACTCCTCAGCCAACATAATCTCATGTGGGTGACGTACCCTTTTTGGCGGAGAGGTCCTGGAGCTGGGTGGTTACATCAGAGTGCTTGTCTTTGCCATACGAGCATTCAAAGAAAACAATGTTGAAGTGACCTGCCTCTTGTGGCACGGCAGCATCAAAGATGCCCTCCCTCTGCTGCAGCAGCTGATACTGACTGCCCATGGCCAAATGGAGCTGTCCGCGCGTGACGCAATGTGCATACAACATTTGGGTGAGTATCACCGCGCCATTTGCATTCATTGACCACACTATACCTTCCTGTCTTCGGCCACGGCAGTATATTGCTCCTCGCCCTCGACCTCATAGCTGAATTCAAGCCTCTTCCGCTCTGGCCCATTGCCGGGGTTACCTGCGGCCCCAGCTTTAATTTCAATTTCAACTGGACACCGAGAGGGGCGGAGGGGGAGGCGTTCGTACCAAAGAGGGCGTTCATGCTGCGGAATTGCCCGAACGCGTGGAGCTGGAGGCCGCCCTGGCTTAGGACAAGCTGCTGCAGTTGGTCGGTGACATCCTCCCAATGCTTGCCAACGCCGTACTTGGCCTCCACAATGCGGATGTAGGGACCGGTCGGAGTGGTTGGCGCAACAGGTGCCACGCCTGGCGGCGCAAAGTGACGGCGAGGGCGGCGGCGGCGGCGACCGTGATGGTGGTGGTGGTGGTGGTGGACCACGCTCTTGGTGCCTTCGTTACGTTGCATGGTTCGAACGAGAAATATTACTCTGCGTTCCCCGTTCACTCGAGAAAAGTGATTTCTTTTCGAACGGAGCGAACCGCCTCCCAAAATATGAACAATCACGCCGTCGTGCAGCCCGCTGTCTGTCAGACGCGTTGTGGCAAAGGCGGCGAGTTAATACCCTAGCCTTGGCGCGCTCTTGTCGATGGTGCGTACGCGGCGCAGCTGACGACGATCGAAGGCGGCGATGGCACCCAGAAGCGCCAGGCGACTGTTGGCGTGTGGGCTGGCGCCGAGCCAGTCCTGTACTCTTACCGGGAACCTGACCTGTCTCATTTCATAGATTGACCCTCCGTAGTTCTCGTACCACTTCCACACCTTGTGGTAGTACTCTTCCTTCGACGTCACCGGCTGCCGGTGCCACTTGGCGTTACTGTTCCGCAGGGAGCAAACATTCAGCGAATGGTTGAGCTTCAAGGTGGGCCAAAGGATCAGTGTCCAGGGTCTGCACCTGTATTTGCTGGGTGGCTGGAAGTTGGGCGGCTGGCGTCCAATGTCGACCAAGAAGCGGTGCTTCCACAGTTGCTCGTCGTGGGCCAAGTCGTTGAACTGCTGGCTCACGAGAGGACAATCGGCGGCCAACGTTTCCTCCCCAACGTCCTGCAGTATGTACAAGAGGATCTGTCCCACGGGGAACAAGGGGAAGACAAGCACCCATTAAGCCGCGGTGGTGGTGGTGGTGGTGGTGGTGGTGGTGTACACCATACAGGCAAGAGCATCAGGGGACTGCGCTCTGAGGAGAAGGGTGAGAAGGTACCTCTCGTGGAAGCAAGTCGAGGAGGCACGTCCCGTCCTCTGGCGGTATGCTTGCCGGATGCAGCACATCAACTGTCCAGGGGGCGTCAATACAATAAGAAGACTAGGGGGGAGGGTAGAGGTGGCGAGCATGTGAATAAAATAAATTAATAAATTAATAAATATGGGAGGTTGTTTGTTGCACCTTCCTCTGCCGGCAGGGGTTGTCCTGCCTTGGCTGCTTCCTCCCGGCGCTTCCGTTTCGCTTCCTCGGCCTGGTCGCGTCGGCGCTGGCGCACTTCAACCAGCTTGGCGGCGTTGGCGTGGAACTGCCACGGAAACAAGGGCTGGGGCGGGGCGGGTCCGAAGGCCCGCACCATCTGATGCTCTTCGTGCGTTTGCGCACCTCCGAGGGGCGGCGGTGGCGGAGGGGGCACTGCGGCCGAACTGCTTGGTGCCTGGGAAGATCGACGACCGAAAAGGCGTGAAATCATCTTGTCGCTCTTTGAATAGCGAAGGAATGACGCGCAGAGAAAGAGAGGTTTTGGTGAAGCGGCTAGTTTAGGTGAAGAAGAAAACGCCCAGCACAACGTTGTTAACGTGCTGCGGCGGGACTCGAACGGAGCTACTCCCGAGAGGCGTGCTCATCGCCGGCAGATTGGATTCGGCTAAGGTCGTACACTCCATTAGAATGGTTTGTGAAACGCGTACTCGTGTTGCCGCCACCATGATGTACCTTGTTGGCTGCCCGGTTCGCTGGTGATTGGTATCGGCGGGAGCGACGAGCGAATCGACGTACAAGCCGAGGCTGCCACATCCTATGAGGAACAGTCCGAAGAAGATCTTCTGTCCCTTGCCCAGCCGCAGGTACGACGACCAGAACTCCCTGCCGTGCTCACTCAACTTCATTTTCGTCGTGCAAACCGATCCTTCTAACTGCGCGATCTGGTAGTTTCTCCCTAATTGCTTTTCGCCTTTTCTTTTCTTTTCTTTCTTTCCTTCATGAAATTCTGTGTGGTGCTCCTGTGCAACCAAGCCGAGACTTGCCCACGACTCTTCTGCGGCTGCCACGCTTCTCTTGGCGCCAGCAGCGTTGGTTGGCTGGCGATCAATGTTTGGGCAAACGAGAACGACAAGATGGAAGGTCAACTTGCGTGTGTCTGCGCAACAGCAAACGAATGGGCGGGTGGTGAAGGGCGGGAGAGCACGCAACTGAGCGACACAATCGGGGTGCTCCGTGTCTCTCTTTTTCCCTTTCCTTTTCTTCCTCTGAATCGTCTCGTGTTCCGGTCCTGCCGATCACGATTGGCCGTGCTCCCTCTCCACCTTCATAAGCGACTCTCCTTCGTCTCTTCGAACCAAACGCCGCAGCCTGATCACAGCCCACTTCCGGGCACACAGTCCTAGGAGCGCCACAGCCCGTCTTGCCGCAGAGGTTGTTCCAAGCACCGAGAGCGAGAGACCTGCGGCCTTGCGTGTTAAACGCAAAAACCGAGAGAAGCCATGTTGATGCCAGGAGGAGAGGCCATGATGGAGAGGCGCAGCGGGGTAGCCCTCGCTCGTCTGCCGGCGTGGGAGGACTGCGCCATATCCCTGCCTGAGGTGGCCCTACATCACCACCGACGTGAGCCGCCTCAGGTGCCGCTCAGGGAGCTCTACGCGAACGGCCACAGCGGCGCAAGGTGCGTGAGCCCGCGAGAGGTGGGTAGATGGGCCGAGGCAGTGGGCAGCGCGAGCGTGGGGTCGATGGTGGTGAGCCTCAAGGAGGTGATGGACGCCGGGGAGTGGCATTCCTCGCCTACCCCCTCAACGGTCTTCTCGTCGTCTTCCTCTCGCTCCTCTACGTGCAACTCGGAGTCAGACCTGTCCGAGACCGGCAGCGTCGACGACGAACCCACCAAAAGGAAGAAGGCCGCCTCCGCCAAGAAGGGCAGCAGCAAGCGAGAAAAGAGCAACAACAAGCTTCACAAGGCCAAGGGCGCCATCTACGGCAAGGAAGACGGCAAGAGAATCCTCCACGCCGCCACCTTTGAGCGCATCGTGCAGTGGATCATCAATAAGGAAGTGCGCCATGCAGGTAGACTTACCTCCTCTGCCCAGTAAAATTGATGCATCAGCCGATTGAAACTGTTTGATCGATTTATCATCGGTGGCATCGCAGAGCGCGCAAGCACGCCGAGAGGGAATACACCAGACCAGGGCAGCGAAGAACAGAGCACAACGGCAACGAGCCCACGTGGCTCGGCGCCGGAAGTAGAGGTGAGCGCGGTGGGTCGTGCCTTCATCGGAGCCTACCGTCAGCACGCCTCCCCCGAACGTCTTCTCTCCCTCGTTGCCGAGTTGTACGTTCCCACTCCTCTCTGCGCTGCCCCCCCCCCACCCCCTCTGACTCTGGCCTTGTGCAGCTACCGCAACCCGCCCAAGCGAGGCAAGCGCACGACGCCGCAAGAGAAGCAGAGAAAGTACGTGGGTTCCCCTCGAGGGTGTGCATTGCCAGTTGCTCATGCGCTGAGCCGTTCCCTCTTGTGGTGTGCAGTTGCGTGTACTTCTTGGGGGCGTGGATGGAGGAGGCCTTCACGAGGGACTTCTACCGATGCGTGCATAAGGCCCAACAGCCTCCCGCCAACAGCCGATGCCTCAAGCAGCTGCTGGGCCTGCTGACCCACGTGGCCGAGAGCTACCCTGTGGAAGTCAACCGCGTCAAGCTCACCATGCTGCGAGTATGCGTTGCCCCCTTCAGAGAGGGACCAAAGCCCCAGTGCCTCATGACCCATTTCCAATCCACACATACAGAAAGCGAATGAAGCACCACGACCACCAAGCCCGCTCCCGGAGTATACAAAGAAGGAGGGAACAAGCGCAGGCCGACCGGATGTCCTGACGTGGGACCTCACCGAGCTTGCCGAACAGATGACCCTCATGGAGTCGTCCATGTTCACCGCCATCCAGCCCCGGGAATTTCACAAGCTGGCGTGGCGGAAGAATGACACCCGCAAGAAGACCTCTCCACATATTGTGGCCGTGGTCGAACGGTTCAACACGGTGCCGCTTCTCTTTCTATTCCCGTGCACGATCGGCCAATTACTGACGTTTTTTGCAATGGGTGTTGACTGCAGGTGTCGTACTGGGTGGCATCCAGCATCGTGATGTGCAACGACATCAAGAAGCGAGTCACCATGGTGAAGCGGTTCGTCAAGCTGGCCGAGGTGTGCCGCGACCTTCGAAACTTCAGCACCCTCATGGCCGTGCTGGCGGGGCTCAACAACTCTGCAGTACGTCGGCTCAAGCTCACCTGGCAGGTGCGCCCCTTTATCTTCAGCCACGCCAATGTCTCACTCACTTGGATGCTGACCCACGTGAACGTGTATAGGGCGTCAATGAGACCACGAAGCAGTCCCTGGAGGCCCTGGATGTACTGATGGAAAACAAGGCCAACTACAAACAGTATCGCGACCTGCTGCTGAAGGAAGAGTTCACTACAGCGCCCGTCGTCCCTTACCTCGGTAGGCATTCTCCACCAGCCCTACTAACTACCCCACGGCAGTACCATAGCTAATTTTGGTGTGGTGGCGTATGCATCAGGTCTCTACCTCAGGGATCTGACGTTCATCGACGAGGGGAACGCCGACCGCGCAGACGAGCTCATCAACTTCGAAAAGCTGGTGATGCAGGGTGACATCATCCTGCAGATCACCAAGTGGCAACAAAACGGGCGCTACGACTTCAAGCCCGACCCCGAGCGTCAGCTCTCCCTCACCAAGCTTCTCGTCCTGCCCGAAGACATCCTGTACAAAAAGTCCGAGGCCATCGAGCCCTCCTCGCTGCCGCACACCCAAC